CCGGCTGCGGCGTCAGCAGCAGCTGCCAACTCACAGCTCACAGCGGCTTCGTGTCGGTCGTCGCTCATATTTTATAAAGAAGCGATGCGAACGCAACGATAGCCTCGTGACTATTTCGAAACACGATCGACGAGCAGCTTCGCGTCTTTCTTCATTTGGCGTCATCCTGTTCCATTGGCTCCTCGGAAACTTCTCGGGAATGTTCTGGGGTAGTCCTGAAACAGGAATGGCTGTAAGCAATCGGCGGAAAAACAGAAGACGAGCATACCGCCGATCGGATAGACAGATTTACGTTAAATTGGTAGGCTGCTGCATCGACAGAGAGGCCATCGCGGAGACCGTCTCGGTTTCGTCGCGCTCTTTCTGTCCAGCTTCGATCGCGCTCATCGACACCGTGTGCGCGTTCAGCTTGACGCAAGGCCAATGAGACATCTGCGTGTCAAACGACAGAGAAAAACGGATAAAAGAAACGCTGGACCAGAGATCGAAAGCAAGGAGAAGAAGGAAGGAAGGAAGGAAGGAAGGAAGAAGGAACAGGAGAGAGTCGCCAAGCGGAAGATGATCGTACCTGCACGGCGATCGTCTTTTGCAGCGTGTCGACCGCGTTTTGACAAGGTATCCTCGTCAATTCCTCTTCCCGAAGTTGAGTAGGTTCGTCCCCGAGCAGAGCCCGAACGCATTCTTGGGCGGAGTCGCAAATCGCGGCCAAATCGTAACCACCTTCGAGAGCGAGAACAACCTTACCGTTCGCCAGTCCGAGCAACTGTTGCGTCATCTTGCCGAAGCAAGCGGGGCTAACTTTGTAGCCTCCGAGGGGCGCGGGATGGCCAACGGCGGCGTCGAATCTCGAATCCTGCCGAGACGAGGACGATGCTGGGATCGAACGCCTTGGCGATCGGCATGACGATCGTACGAAACGCGGCTAGATATTCCGCGTCACCCATCGGAGGATTCAGCCCACCGGACCAGGCTACGTTCACGTTGTAGCCCAGACCCTCGCCAGCCCCGCACTCGGTCGGTCCACCGGTTCCTGGAAAGAAGTTACCTTCGTCGTGCCTGTGTATCGACATGTACAGCACCCGTGGGTCGTCGTAGAACATTTGCTGCGTGCCGTTCCCATGATGGACATCCTAAACAGAAGGTAAACCGGTCGAGTCGGCGATTCTCGTCCAGCGGACTCTACCGATCGCGTATCCCGAGCGCGAGTTCCCGATCGTC